TGTGTTGAGAAGGTTAAATGATCATGTTATTGACTCTGTGAGGTAACCACCGCATCTGGTACTGTTGTTTCACAAGAAAACAAAGCATCGCTTGGCAGTGTCTACGGTTTTTTAGCCTAGCATATTTTCTTTTTTATAAAAAATCTAGAATGGAAACTCAAGTTAGGCAATCTGAACGTTTTATGTTTGCAATGTAGGCATTGAAGGCATTACTTTCTATCCCGATTGACCATAGAAACAGAATGCTAACTACCTATCTTTAACGTGTAATACCTTTGCGGATGGTCCACTTTGTAAATGAATTTTGAGAATGGGTCCATTTCATTATCCAAGAGTATCGATGTTGATGCTAATGTCAGCTTTGGAGCCCCCATTGCTCAGCTGAGAATGTACCACGTTCTACACGCTTTCTGCGCAAGGTCATTATATTTTGATGCATGTAGGTGTTATTTGAGGGAAAAGTATGGTACTTTTTCTGGAGAAATTCAAGCTTATCACACCAATGTATATCCTCCTTGAATGAGAATTTTTCAAGGTTGCTTGGTGGTGTACTGGTTGTACTTCGTTTTAGATGATAATAACTGCTTCATGTGGTGGTTTGTTTCTTTTTCTCCTAGGTTCGCCTCTGGAGCAAATCCACATTTTTGTCCTTGCACACGTCCTTCGTAGACCAATCATCGTATACAGTGTCAAATACATACACAACTACCGTGACGAGCCAATTGGACTAGCGAACTTCGAAGGTCAGTAGTTTTCGTGGTTTGGACGGAAGAAGTCGTGTTAACATTGAATAAGAGCTAATTTCACCGTTAATTGATCATGCAAAGTCGAAAACCTAAGGGAAATGTCAGAGCAAATATGCATGTGACAAGGTTGGAAATGCTACGTGAGGTGTGGTGTCAAGGGAAGGCTTCTTCAGATCCTCGCTGCAGAATTTGTGGGTGTTGTAGGCCCTAATAGTTTAGAGGTGATTTTATTTTAAGCATACAGAATGGCCAGCAGGTTAGAAGCATGATTGCTGTCCACTAAAGACGGCAATGCAAGTTTCCTATCACCCCGCTGTTGAGCATGCGTTTTACTGTGAAAACTAAAATTTTTCCTTAAGTAGTGACCACAATTTCTTTCATTTTTACTCAACTTACTCAAGTTGCTTCCACTTGGTTTGGCCTCTTCGGTGCTTTTCTGGTTGTTTTCTTTAGGTGCCAAACATTTTATCCTTCTAACATGAAGTAGAAGGAGCTATTTTATGCAGTAATATGCGCAGTATCCGTTGTGGATTATGCTTAATGTTATTTTAAAGAAGTTAAATCTACTAATAACGGTAAATCCAAATAATGTATTGGCCGTATTTTAAAGTGCCGAAATCAGAAGAGTATGCGATCTGGTTTTAAGTTTCATATTTGAGAGTTATGCAATTACACCTTTCGTTGCTCGTCTGAGTCTTGTTGCTGGCACACATGAGAAGCTTATGAGTAAAGCTGGGATAAGATCGTGTAGATGTTTCATAAAGTTTGACTTTATCGTAGTCATAATACACAGGCGCTCATATCATGGGCTAACCCGAATGTTCTTTATTGCTGTCCAAAACGTAGACCTCATAGGGGCCTAATATTACGAAAAATTAGTACATAATAAAGTCATGAGGTGTGGCAGCCCAGGGCGCAAACGTCACGAAAGCGAACAGTTTTAGTCTTAATAGTTTAGTGAAGAATAAAAGTGAAAGTCGTTTTGGATCGACCACAATTTGAGAGGTTCGAACCATGCTGGCTGCTCTTGATCAGCTTTGCTGTACGGAAGTTCAGGCGTGTTTGCACGTACAAGAGGAATCTAGTTTCCCTACCTCGGAATTGATCGGTT